TGTTCGTAGAAAAGGTAATGCATTTGCATTTCCCCGCCAAACACCGCTGTCTTGCGGTTATGCTTTTGAGCCAAAGGCTTTGGTTGAGGACCCTAATCGTCCTGCTGTCTAGGTGTGGGCGCCCTGGCAGTATCCCAGCCCTCGTACAACCATGACCTACACAACTAACAATATTCTCATGCCACATCGGCCGTCGCGTGGTGCCATCAGCCGGGTCGCCTTACTTGCTGCATACAGCAGGGCGGGTAAGCGAAAACAGGCTACTGCTGACGCCTCCCTTCTTTCTCCCTCACACAATTTTTCTTCCCCCTCTCCCCACCCCATTAATAACTCTCACCTTGTAGGCCAAGCACTTAGGTCTGATGACTCCGTTCGTCATGCGTTGGTTTTGCGTGCAGCATCTGCTCGTTACATGGTGCCGACATCTTCAGGAATCTCCAAATCGGTCCTCAAGCCTCGACACCCAGTCTATCTGGCCGCGTTCAATGTCCGCACTCTGAAGCAAGCAGGACAACAAGCTGCTCTTGCACTCACACTGGACTCGCTTGGCATTGATGTGTGCTGTGTCTCAGAAACGAGAATTCAAGATGCAAGCACAGTGATTGAGTTAACCGCCCCGTCAGTCTCCACTCGCTTCTGGCTACTCACCTCTGGTGATCCAGAGGCTGCTGCGGTGGGATGTGCAGGGGTTGGTATTGTGCTAAGTCGACTTGCGTTGTTAGTATTTTTTCAATCGTGAGCATCCATGTTTCAAAAGCATACAATAGTGAAGATGCAGCACTCTCTTGGTGCAAAAACACCCTTAGTCGATACCAAGCGTCTTATAGCACGTCTGAGCTGTGCTTTGCTGAGTAGGTGGATAGTAAGGAAGGAGATTTTCACGAGCTTACTGAATCACTGGAATAATACCCGAAATACAGTCGGATATTTAAAACGATTTTTACGCGAATCAGATACAGCTTCGTGCTTGTTCTGTAGTGCACGCTTCATACTCATATTGGCAACCCACCACCATCATCATCATCTTCAGGTGCAAAAACCGCGTACTTGTTGTACCGGGGTTATCGCTACAACGGTCTCATTCACCGATGATCTGGGGAGGTAGTGTTGGATATCTGCTCTTTGAGGACAGTAACTGATGCGTGAATACAGGGATTTCAAGGGACTTTTTCACAGGAGGTCGAGAGGGGAGCTATGCACCGAAGGCCACAGATTGGATGCATGCGCACCCTGTCTTCTGGGTCGATTCGAACATTACTTTTCGTGTCAATTCGCTAAATGATGACCCCCAAATGCAGTGAACGCATTCTAAACAAATGCATTCTAAAGCAATGCGGGAAACCCTAGCAGCTATTGGGTTTTTTATTAGGTCGTTCCACCGCATTGACTAGATCATCATTGGCGGATTGGGGATTTTCCGTATTGTTTGGTGTTTCTTCCATTCGACTTAGCTCAACTTAACTCCGTTGAGTATGGCGAAAATTCTGCCATAACCACGTTCATTACGATAACTAAAACATTCAGCTTTTCCACCAAAAAGGTTCAACCCAATATGTTTAGGTACTCAAATTCAACTGAATGTTTCCTCGCGGGAGGTTTGAGAGACTGGAGATTGTTCTCTCCTGGGGTATTTGCTGGTTTGTGTTTCTTGGAAGTATTTTCCACCACAAAGTTGGAATAAACTGAGCACTAAAGGGCCAGTAATAGTTTGGTTCCAAAAGCTCATTCGTAATCGGAACTTACAGCAAGATTTCGAAATTTCACGGGATATGGAATAATAATGATTGCGGCGCATTATTCGTACACTATTTCAGCGTCTAGCAATCAATTTATTGGACTGCAGTGGACAGCACAGCATGACTTAAAACTAGTTCAGTTTATGCAAAAGTTGAATGTTCTGGACTTTCAATTCTCTGCTAATCACCCTCGTTGTTTTCACGCGAATATCGAATATAGAACACTCTCATACGAATGTCCGAGTAGTTAAATAACGGAATTTGAAGTTACACAGACCTGAAGCTTGCATATACGATGTGACATATTACATGGAGTTTGTGCTGAGCGACGTGTACAGCCAGCTGAAAGCTCTTCACCTGGTTGAAAACCCAGGAAGCTAAGACTGTAGGCTAAATAAGGGAAAGTAACTCTATGGCCGTCAACTTGACCATCCACCTGCCCATGATTGTCAAACCATGTTTGGACATTCAAGCGGCTGAAACCTAAGCTGTATACGGAGTGTGCCTTTGTGGCCAGCATCACTCACAGGGCATGGCCGGCTGGCGTTTGCAGCCAACCCGTCAGATCTACACAATGTTGCTGCTGTTACAGGCTTAACACACCGGAATGCTCGTTGCCATGGTGGAGAATTTGTAGACTAAAACGGGAACAAACTTAAAATTTAACATGCTGTTTAGGGTGGACTGGTGGCCTGCAATACAGACGAACTGAGCTGAAACCAAACCCACATTATTTTCTATGGTTATCGTGACTCGACCTGCTTTGATCTGCGCGATGATGGTTATGAGAATTCATGCCCAGTGTCAGCACGTTAGTTACGGGCCGAAAGCTGTCAAAACATATTTCTCACGGTCTATTCTGGTGGCATCTATTCCAAGTGTATCAGTGGCGTGCATCGCTGAAAAGCAAGTCCAGATTGCATTCGCATGACGCAGTATGTTTAGCTATACTCTGGTGTTTCCTCACTCGACGGCTTTCACGAAAACTCATCTCTACTGACTGATAATCTTAGAGAACCGAAGTGGGTCTGGCCAAGTTGTTTTATCCACTGGCGGCTCTTCACATCTTCCCTTTCTGACTACTTCTGTTCTCCGGTCAAACATCTTCCAGAGAACCCCAGCATCCGGTACGCCGCGGTACTCTGGCTCACACTTGTCGGCCGCTGAACTGACAAGCACCGGTTCCTACAAACCTGCATTCAGTCAATACAAAGGAGACCGTAAAATCGGTTGCTTAGCGTTGTGAAACAATTTGGTCGGCCAAAAGAGAGACGATCTAGGGACAGTTTTGCAATTTATGCTGTACCACTTAGCATATGGTGGTTGTCAAAGTAACTCGGATGGGCTAGTTGCTGATACGATTGAGCGCTTCACTTGATAGACAGCCCTTGATACTTCTCATAACTAACTAAAAATGATTCTTAAATCTTGTGCACCTGATACAATATCAATAATGCCTTTGATATCTTCCCAGCAGCCCGCTGCTGGTCTTGTTCTCGCCGAGGCCATTTGCTGCGTGTGTTTTTTGAAATTCCACCAAACCTATGTTTTATTTCAACACCAAATTATATGCAACTGACGAGCTAGTCCATAGTTTGACGTCAAGTGCTATACACGGCTGGCGAATCGAATACCCATTTCTAACCATCAGTCAACAGTCGCCGAAGTTTCAGTCAGTGTTGTGGGACTTATCACCATATTACATATCGTTCAGTCAATCAAACTAGCTGGTACTGGAATGCATTGCAGCAGCTATGGCATGTCAGTAAAACATCATGCTGTTGTTGAACTATCTGTTATAGACAGTGGGGCCGCTACTTCCTTCAGGGTTTGATATACATGATTTTTCAAGTGCTGAAGCTCTAGTAAATGCAACAGTGTTTAATCGAAATATCGCACATGTTTGCACAAGTTTGGTGCTTGAAAACCATTCTGTACGTGGTTTTCTATAGAGGAGAATGTCGGTAGCTCAGGTAGCTAGATGGTCGGTTGGCTTGTTCGCTGAGCTGCAACCAAATTGCCCAGCTCAGCGAACAAGCCAACGACCATTCTGTATGTGGGTTTGTAAAAGTCACTTTTCTATTGGTTTTGCCAAACAGGATTCCCAGCTTTTTCAAAATTGACAACTACGCACTGATGATGTCACCTCGATTGGTGATGAAGCGTTTGCAACCAAATTGCCCAGCTCAGCGAACAAGCCAACGACCATTCTGTATGTGGGTTTGTAAAAGTCACTTTTCTATTGGTTTTGCCAAACAGGATTCCCAGCTTTTTCAAAATTGAAAAACAAAACCTGATGGCATTCCAAATCGGTTGGTTTGTGTATTTTTTGATGGCGCACATGTCGGGATCGTTTTCAAGAGATAACTTTGCAAGACGTAAGGTTCGATTTAAAAGGCTCTCGAACAACATCTCAAATGCAACGAATTGCTGCAAGTGACCGTTACCTGCGAGACCATATTGTTTTCAAATCAGCCCAACTTGGCCAACAAACAAAACACAGTCTTCCTCTCTCGATTTAGCCAAGAAGGCAGGAGAAAAGGACCAGAGGTGAAGCGGCAACAAATTTAAGGTTAAGGATCACCGGAACTGAGACTTCCTACGCCTCAAAGATAGGACCAAAGTCTTTTAACCCCAAGAAGCACAGGTGTGACATACTTTCACATACCCAGGTATTTACAGGTCAGTTACTGAAGCGGACCACTTGACGTGACCGCTGCCCGCCAATAACATAAATGGTACCTCGGCGCATTGGGTGGGCGGACCAGCTATGGAGTCCAGTTGCCCCAAATTAGAATGGCCGGAAACCAACTAGCTGAAGACCATATTGTCAACAAGCTGCATCCATTGAATGGCTTAGTCACCGGAAGAAGGCCGAGGGAACGAAAGATCTCGAAGGTGTTTGGGAAAGTAGTGTTTTCATGGCTATTACAAGCTTCAAACTGTGTTCGGTTGACGAAACAATCGTAGGGAACATTCGTCAAAAGTCTCAGAACGTAGCAGCAGCAGAAGCGTTGATGAAGAAATCCAGGCGCCTAAGTATTGTCCGAAATAACAGTCTAACTGCAGATTGAATGTACTCTTCAGCGTTTGGGTATCGTTCATATAAAATGGTAAAACCATTATACCACATGTGTAAGTACGTGCCGTTTTGACTGGTGTTTTTTGTATGACTATTATGGAGAGTTGTGCGTTCTTATCGCGTGGAACCATTTACGTGCAACTAGTTTGTATGATTGATTTCTAGGAAAATTGTGCTCGAATCAAGCAGAATCGACAACCGTTTGGATAAAACGCCACGACTACGCAGCAGCAGTCAGCTGATTGCCATAATGTAGCAACAGCTGGTTAAAATCGATATTTTTCCATATGACTGACGCAAAGGGTTTTGATCGAATTCAGCTGACTGGAAGGTTAATCTTCGCATGGCCCGGACTGTGCACTAGCGACAAACCTCAGTATGAGCGGAAATGGATGCGCCATTTGGTATGGACTAACGGGATGAAAGAATAATTTATAATACTTGATTAGTGCTGATTTGAATGCCTCTGAGTTGCCTTCACTTTGAAAAAAGAAAATCCTCACGGAAAGTTTTTAATGACGCAGTTCACCTTCTTGTTTTCCTTCACTTTGCAAAGAAGCTTGGTCAAATGGTGGCATAAGATGCTGAACGCTGAAAATACTTTAACCGGTGGCCTTGTCAGTGGTGTGAACGTTAGTCCCAACAATTAGAGTGGACCACTGAAAAAAACTGAGGCAGATCGACTCAACGAATTGTCCACTTGCTGGCGGATTCTTTGAACTCGTCTTGGGAATATTTCAATCGGACAAACCATCCAAAAACTCTAAAAAAATATATCCGATGGATAGGAAAAAGTGTGAACCAACATGCGGGTTGTTGCGTTTTCGCAACTGACAAAGAACGGAATTTATCCCAAATCAAAATATTCATGTACTGAAAAGCAGCACTAGATTGGAAAAACAGGATGATGCTATATACAAAGGACCTGGTTGTTTTTGAAAAATACCGAGTCCGATCCAGGACCAACAATCAGCTATACTGGTGTGTGCCGGGGTCGCAAACTGGGCTTCGGAACAAACTGTACTCTAACCTGTGGTTGACTGGTGTTCGGAATGATTTCCTCTACCACATTTACATGCTCCGATACATACTGGGCTGGAAGCCGTTTAACTGTCAACAGTGTACCGGGACGATTTTGAATGTAAGGTCGTGTTGGCCAATGGAGCCTTTGTTCCAGTGTGCGAACTCACAAATATCTAGGCACCTTGTGTCCAGTGTGTAACACATGGTTTTGATTACTCGTACGCTCTCACGGTTTTCTAATTTTGAACCTTCTTCGTTTCAGGAAACCTATCGAAATACTACACATATCCGGGGTCTCTGACAACGCCTCCGTGTTCTGAGTGCGTTACCTGGATCATCTTGGATGAGCCGATACTTATCTCGCAAAATCAGGTAATAGACTTTCGAAGGCCAATGTGACTTTATGAGCACCAATATAACCATCACATTTTTGCGAAGCAGATTTGCACATTTTGGCCAGATTTGTCTTCTGTTTGGTAAAAAGTGGCAAGTAGTCCATACATTATCCGCGGTTACAGGGTTTGCAGGATTGCATTCGTTTTTTCTAGTCACTCCCACTTTACTCCACCAAATTATGAACCTAAACACTCAACAGTGTTGGCTTTATTGTTATGTTCGGCGGAAACATATCGGTCGGCGTCGACAGTTGAACGATCGCGGGAACTCAACATCAACTCCACCATGTTTTAAGTAGCTCAGTGATATTGCTGAATGCATAGATCAAGGTAAGTCGTAACATTCAACAGCTCCACAAACGATTACCTGCCAGTAGAATAATTTCTGTGTCACTAACAAAGCACGATGTCCCCAATATCTGATCCAAACAAATAAATCAAGAGTAAAGTGAATTTTTACACAATAGAAAACGGTTGTCTAAGTTTTTGCTGGACATGCGAATAGTGTTTTGTTGAAAAACTTACCGTTATGTTGTCACAGATGCAGTCACGAAGTACCGAGTAAATTTGTTGGTTTTGTCACAAGCGACGGTTTATCCCGTTTGTTTACGGCTGGTTTCCGTTGTCATCTGAAAGTGATAGCACAAACCTTTGATGTCTGCCGTTCACTTGCACGGGAAGCACAAAATCTGACTGGACTAATTGTTAGTCTGCCGTCGGCTTTGAAATTTTTTTTTCGAGTTGGAAAGTAGATAATTCCACTAAGATTAAATAATAGTTCAGTGTAATTTAGTAACATGAAGAGTTGAATCCTGGGCCTACCGTCTATGGAATCTAGCCGGGAATATCTCGGTTGGACATGCGGGCAGAACATTTTCGCTTCTACGAGGATAAGAGAGACCTGTCGTGATATCAACATTGTAGACACAGGTTTAGAAGGCCTCCGTAACTCACGTCTACCAGCCACAATGAGAGCTATATGTGGACGGTAAAATAATTAGCTTTAAGGGAGAATCACGTGTCCTATAATTAAACATAAGGTTACGGTTTTCATGAAATTAACCTGTTTGCTCAGCAACAAAATATTTTGACCACAGACAGAAATACGGCAAATACCGGCGGCACCAGCTTGGGAGCAATTAAACTCTTTTGACATTTATTTTTTTCCGGAGGCATGGATGGATTTTAAAATTTTAATTTATGGGTGTTTCGCATTAGAATAACTTCCCTTATTTAGAAACATTAACTACTCATCAGCCAACCGTCTGAAATTTAGTAATGTACATGTTTTGTTTTACAATCCACCGTGTCTGGTTCCGTATTCCGTGCTCCAACAGGAGACATTGCGTTACATTGTTGGTAGTGTGAGGAGATTTGGGATTTTTGTGGTGATTTCGTCCTTTAACTGAAGCCAATCTATGCTGAAAAGCCGAGAAGCACTGTACAGCTGTTTAATTCTTATTGGTAGCTCAGTGGAAGAATAAACTTCACCCGATGGGGGAAACTTCTATCTGAGAAGTCGTCGCTCGAGGCGCCAGTCAACACGTGTGACCGCGTGATGTGGANGGATGAGCGGCGCTATATCCTGTCTAAGTGCGAGTCAATCACACTGCTGATCAGCCACTCGTGGCCGAAAGGTTAAGTGTTCAAACTACTAGCCGGGAGTTCGCCGATTCGAGACTCTTCGGAGTTTCGTGAGATGGGCCCTACTGATGATTCCCAATAAGGATGAAACCGCTGTACAGTGCTTCTCGGCTTTTCAGCATAGACTGGCTTCACAGGACAAAATCTCCACAAACACTGAGTTACATTCAATTGTATTTATGGAATCCAAATGTATTTTTCGTTGCCTTTAACGGATTCTCTCCAGGACATATCTATGATCTTTTACTGTTTAAGGACATTGTTTATTCAGCTTGAAATTGCTACTTGCAAAGCAGATTCTACAAAACTACTCAAGAAGGCATTGCTTCATGTTTTCTGTTTGCCCTTCGTTCTTCCTAGTACATTGTTCCCACTGGATTTTGTGTTAATTTCTCTGGTTTTTCGCACACCTCATGTATATATGCGTGTGTGTAGACAAGCGACTACTTAGAGTCTCCCTGAGGTTTGTATGTTAGGGTAAGTAATATTTCTTGTTCTACTAGACTGAACCAACCCAGTGACACTTAGTTTACATGCCTTGGGTTTCACACAAATGCCCTACTATTGGCTGATGGATTCCGTCTTGGTAATTTCCAAACGCTTTTCACTAATGGTGAGGTGAAAGCTCTGTGTCCTCATCCCTCTTGCGACAAAAACCGTACGATTCAGCTGCATCAATCCGGAAAGTTGTCTGGTACCTATGGTTGACGGGAACGAGGATAAGTTTCCAGTATTTATCCGATTGGGGCGAGATGGTCCAAGTGGAAAGAGCATGAATTTACTGACCGGAAGGTCCGTGGTTCGAATCCCACCTCCGCCTCTCGACTTACCCTGTCTAGGCTTGGGCAACTTGGCAGTATCCCAGCACTCGTGCTTCCTTCGGGTAGCATGACAGCTAGGCACCGGAAGGGTTCTACTGCTGATCACTTTATTTATCCAAGTACCGATCGATCCAGTTGACCAAGTACTTACGTTTTCTATGTCTGATTCATAACTAAGCCTAGATGACTCGGTTTGAGTTATTCTCTATCCCCGGCGCATTTGTTTATGAATGAGGGATGTAAACATCGGTTGCGAGTTTTAGGCAGGTCTGAGGCAACAAACAGTCGAAGTTTGCTAAGCAGAACACATAGTCGGACAACTAGTTGTTGGTGAATGGTACGCATTTTCGAGCCTCCATTTTGTGTTTGGACTAACGATGTTTTTTTTATTTCAAACGGAAGTTCACTTGCCGAAAAACAAACGCTCGATGAAACGAAATGGCGATTCAAGCACTGGCGGCATGAACTTCCAGCAAAGCTGTAATTTGCAGGTATTCATCAAGTTAAGAAACGAGAGATATACTCCCTGGGCTATACGTTCAATTTGCGGTTTCATATTCCGAAACGGAGTTTGTGATTTGTTACTCAACTGTGTCAGTTTGGTGGAGACCAGTACGGATTTTCACTGAGAGTGGATGTTTGGGGAATTTGAAATGTGCATTTTATTTGGCAAACTGCTTTTGATGTTCTAGCTCAAAACATTTCATTCCATTTCAACGGCTGATTAGAATGCGTATATTACAAATCGTCTATAAAATGGTTACTAATCTTTTCGGTTGCAGATGTCTTCGTGCTGGAAGCTGGTATAGTATACGATAAAAGAACCCAAGTTCAAGTTAGATTTTTTGACTGGTTTTTGAAATTCCATTCGGATAAAAAAGCCAAACCTATTCCATCTGTTGAAAAAGTTAAAATGTTAGGATCAAAACAAATGACCGTATGAGGAACTTAGAAATGAAAACATTCTGGTGCCTCGATTTTGTCAGGTTGCATAGGACACAAGCGGTTTGAACTGTGAATTAAATTAGACAGATGGACTCGAATAACATGTTTTCAGCGTATATCCAATGTTAGGATGCCATAAATTCACCGTGTGTCATGTGTGCCGATAATTAGGCAGCTCGCTTCGCGTTTCGTCCCTGGTTGACAAATTAGTATATGTCCCCGGAAAAATTGAATTCTTGATCGGTTGTCCATTTTTCAGTTTTATGATAATTTACTGCTGTTTTGTGCTGCATCCCACTTCTAATGCTCAATACAAACTCATCTGCAAGACTGTCGTCCATCTAGTTGACCTTCACTAGATGACTTACCCTAAAATAATTTGCATAAAAGTGAAGCACCGTCTGTTCAGGCATGACTACTGTCCTCTATTTGGTTCCCTTCAACTGCATACACTACTTTCGAGACACCACAGATTTGTTTGAAATACCGGTGAGGATATAGTCATAAACAACCCAAGGCTGTTTATCAGAGTGATCCACCAACGTCAGTGTAACTGCCATAAGTACATTTCAACAAACCAGCTCCGGAAATGCCGAAAACTACGGTACATCTGCAGTACTGCTTCTGCAGTTTCCTAGAGAGTTCATGAAATATTCGAACGTGGAACGCTTGGCAGAGGGCTACATTCGGATCCAAGTGGTGGTGTGTTTCGAATCACCGAAACGCATTGCGTTCCAACACAGCACAGTTTAAATTGCCAGTTAGTGAGGAGAGTTACATTTACGGATTTGGTCTACCAATATACAGTCTTCCGGAACATGCTGGTATCCCTGCAGTGATCCGTTATTTTGATTAGGAATTATGATAGTCGCTCCAGATGAGTTTCTCAGCAGGAGGCTTCTGGCGTTTGCAGCCCAGGGCTATAGTTGACCGATCTTTTATTTCCCAACTCGCACTGAGAACAACATTGTAGTCATGATTGTTTGTTCTCTGCGCCCCTGTGATCTTTTTGATCTAGTTCCCGGATATATCCCTAGATCCTGTGAATCCTGATGGGTTCACTCGATAGAATCAGACGTTGCGGGATTCGATTGGTTTTGGACAAAAGTAGGCGAATATGGTCCCGATTTCCCACCAGACAACCCAGGTGAAGCTGAGTTTAGACCGTTGTTATCGGTTCAACAGCAACTGAACAGATGTCTGTTCCAGATTCACACAAATTCCCGGGTTACCTTTATGAATCGGCAAGGTTCCTCTAGCACAGAATTTGGAGAAAATATCGGAAATGATAGCTGTTGTTTGGATGTCTATACTATACTACTCAGATGCCTAATTACCGGTTCTGGTGCGGTAATTTTCGGACCTTAATTGGTGCAGTAGACTGGAGATGATGTCATCATATCAGGTGTCCTCGGCATTGTTGGTCCACATGAAATACTTTGCGGACTAATAGCTAGGACAATTGGTTTTCGTTTTGTCCGGCCATTATTTGAAAAAAAAACAGGTGTGCGTTCTGGATTCGAAGCCTACTTCATTAGATGGGAGAACATAAAATTTCCACTCTCTTCATTTTTCCTCAAAGCTCGATCGGATGCGCAAAGTTCATGAGGGATGTTCCATCTGTGGACGCACAGACAACTATCGTCCGATCTGTCCTATCGGGAAACGCCAAATTTTTTGTTCATTTTCCTGCTAACCATATCGTTAACGAGTAGCAAGTTAACTAAAACGCGCCTTAGAGATTAGATTTTGTATTCCTTTGCTCTTCATCAGTATTTTGCCTACGTTATATCATTCCGCCTTCGTCTAGCCCTAAGTCGGCTGTGATTCAATGTTGTCTTCATATTCTCATTGCTCTCACTTAAGTCACGCTTCATTCTGTGTTAGCAATGCAAGTAAAATAACTGAGATTGGATCGCCTTATTCATTTGATGTTATGAGATTCTTACTTTAGACAGACTTTTCGAACTTTGTGCGCACGTATGTCGAAGCAAACTGGTGGAGTCACTGCAAACTGTGGCAAACTTATGAACAGCGAATGACAACAGAATGAACCGCGTCGACATTAGACTGGTAAATCTATGCACTCGATGAAATATTAGTGTAATAGTGTGGACGTAGTACACTACTCATGAGGTTGCTGAAGATTCTCCGACCTTATGAGTGGTGTATTGCGTTCGTAGATTTATCGCGATATCAGGAAAATCGTGCCAGTCGAAACATGAGACGGCCTGGCGTAGCACATTCAATTGCTGAAGGACATCATAAACCATATTCAGCTGAGTTCCAGGTGAGAATCTCACAGAAGCAAATTTGTTTGCAAATGAGTGTACTTGAATGGAGTAATTTAAATCGACAGAAAAATTATCGGTGCTGATGCTCCCCGTGCGACCATCTTAAGTTGTGCACAAAAACTATATTGAATCTATATTGTTTGTATGCTAATACATGGTAAAAGGAACTACAAATGGGGTGAATATTTGCAATCCAGTTAGTACTGCATTTTGTGTAAAGAGACCTACAAAAACCTGACGAAGCGGGAAAGATGGTATGCGCCGGGTTGTAAAAAGTTCTAAACGTACGCCTAATTCGAAACACTGACTGCCTACCAGGACCTTCTGTTACAAACTGATTTCTCTGTCACCCGTTCAAGTTATCGGAATAGGACATCTTGCTACCTGAACTGGATAGAAGGATAACTGAATGGCATACTGGATGGTTAACTACATACGATTGGTTCCACCACCACCCCCAGTTCCAGCTGCCAACAACTCTTGTCCATTAGACTCAGCTGTATGTTTCTCACAATATGGCTAATTCCTATCTTCTGATATTGACGGATGTCTGTAACCGGGTGACTTCTGCTAATGCGTTTCGTCTATCCAATGCTAAATTCCATGTATCTCGTTAACGTGAGACAAAATGCCCAATCCAGGATTGGCAGCCGATTTAGTGCTGCTATCAATCTGTGTGTGAAATTCCATCGTGCTACGTGGGACCATCCTCTAGAGCCTGTCGTGCCAGAATTCCGAGAAGGGTAGTGAAACGGTCCCCTTAATGCAGGGTCGTTTGACCACAGATTAAAGGGAAAACATTTGCTGGTAGATATTCACAGACTAAATCGTTTAGTTCTAATCAAAAACTCTCCAGCAGGTTTCATGCGCTCACATTGCTATCTGACTGGGAAGTCCTAGTAGGCAAGTCAGTCGATCGGCACATCAAGAATAGTCACTGGGTGGCATCGAGTAAATCACCCACGTCGCTCTACGCCTTAACATGTTTGCCTGTTCAGACATGGTAATTCCGATGCGTCCAACGTGCGTTTGGGGAGTAGTGGTAACGGGCTCACCTCGCATGTCAGATGTGTGGAGTTCAAACGTCAGCACGGCTGTGCTGATGAGCTATAATAAGAGTGAAACCCGAGTCCAGTGCTTTCAGAATTCGATGTAGATTTGCTTCAATTACTGCGCCAAATCAAGCGAGGGACTCTTCAAACCAGAGTGACGCAAACGTGAATTATACAGACCTAAACACTAGAAAATACCCAGTTTCCATTAAACAATCGAAACTAGAGTCATGATACTGAGGATTGTTATCTCCAAAAGACAGTGACCGATATCTGGATGTTGAAATGAGGGGCATATTAGTTTTGGACGTTGAAGAGATAAGCCATTTTGCTATTTTTTTATTTGGCAGGTAGGTATACATATAACTTTTGTGAACAGTGTAGATGTACTGCTTATCACCGGCATATTAATGCTGGTGTTGCATACAACGAGCCGGCGATTTGCCGGAGAATATGAGGTCCGAAACACTCCCAGTAACAAGCCAGGATTTGTTTTAATTTTCGGCATGGCCCCTAATGGCCTGAACCGCACACGCGTTGCCTGCCTGCTTCATGGGTTGAGTCAGACCAACTAAAGATCGCCACCGAATACGTAAGACAGAGTTCGTTACACGTTCATCAGAGTGGGCTGTGATCATAAATTGTTGTTTTGCCTTGTCCTCCTCCCGCAACAAAATGCGGCCGTCAAATCCAACCGACCTGTTCGACAAATATATGGTGTGTAGACTTTGGAAGACAGGTTGCAGCGCTGAGATTGGAAAACACGATGGTTGGGACGGCCTTCAAGCCGATTAGCAAACATGCTGTGTTATCCTAACACAGGTCATTCCAGGGCACCTGTAAATCAGCCCAGGTTAGACGTCAAGCTGTCCATTTTCGTGTGACCTTAAACAGGGGAATCTCGCATCTGCTTCTCTTTAAATAGTGAATCACTCCAAGCTCAGCTCCCATGCTATTTTTCTGTTAAAAACGCATAGTCGACCTTTGTGGCTTGTAGCTGGTTAGTTGGTGTTTTCGGCTTCGGAAGACAAAGGGTAATTTCTAAAGGATGTGGACGAACTTGCTTCCACAAGATTGCATGTTCATTGGAATATAAGATTTACATTTGTAAAAATTCCACTTCTGGTTGTTTGGTGACATGACTTTCTTGCACATTTTGCGACAAGCAGGGAAAAACAACAATATGTTCTCATTATTGGTGATTGCTGGTATACGAATAGCATATCTCGTCATTCAAAAATTTAAATATCATCAACTAATCCAGCACCATCATTGTTACTGTATTGTCCGTCCTAAAATGAGATTGTCATGCAGTTTTCTGATGGGCATCCGAATAGTTTATGCGCCACTTGAAACATCATCATCGTTGTCAGCTGTAAGAACCGCGTACTCGTCGTACACTGGTTGTAGCTGCTGCAGTTTCGTTCACCGATGATTTGGGAGGGGGGGGGTAGGTAGCTGCGCATTGCACGCGCGAGCTGGTAAATTGGTGCATAAATCCAGCACTGTCAGTGGGCTGTCAAGTGAAGGATGGTTGCAAAAGAAGCTATGCATTGAAGGCAATAGCATTGATGCACGAGCGCCATTGAGCGCTCGACTGGGCCATGTCTGATAAGGTCTCTAGCCATTGATGTGGCCCGTCTCGGGGTCCCCATCCAGGAAGACGGCGGTGACCAGCGCAGCTGAGTTTGCTGGTAATGGCTTTCATATTTCGCTGCCAAGTCATTGTTTGACCGCCTCTGGCTCTCTTCCACCCTTCACATGGTTGGGAACCCTTCGAGGAAGTCGGTCGACTGGCATTCGCAGCACGTGGCCAAGCCAGCGCAACCTATGCACTGTGATCAGTTCACCTATCGAGGTTGAGTTATTTCTCCCGAATACCATTCGACGTACTCCGGAATTGCTGATCCGGTGTTCCCACCAGATTCGGGCGATGCTCCGAAGACATCGATGGTCAAACACTGAAAGTCTTTTGACGTCCTCGGCGCGCAGCGGCCACGTTTCTGATCCATATATAAATATGGAGCGCACCGCAGCATTGTAAACTCGACCCTTGACAGAGAAGCTGATGTCACGCCTACGCCACAGGTGACGTAGGTT